AATAAAATAATGCAGCCCTTGATGTAGTTTAGCTAATATTTTTTTAGTAGAGGATCGGCTATGAGTTATGTCCAAATGAATTATATTGAATAATACTTTTATATTTAATTGATAAAACTCTTTATTTCGATACTAAATTTTTAATGCCTCGAGGAAGATTTCACATTTCCTAGTAGTAAATTATACAAAGTACATTCATTCTAAATTAGTATTGTAAGCTAGTATTTTCCTTCTAAACTTATGATAAAAAAACCACCACATAGATTTTATCGCTTAATAATTGTAGAATTAAGTGTGAAATAAAATTATTAACTACAATGAAGCAATCACCTAACATTTGCTCTTATTTTTTTTCAGTTTTCCATTTGTTACATAACTATAAAGTCAGTGAGAAATAGCATATGCATTCAATTAAGTTCAATAATCTCATTGATTTAAATATTTATTTTGATACGCATAGTTAGCCATATTTAATATTTTGACTTGAATCTGCTTATTAGAATTATTAGTTAACATTAGTTCACTCAAATAACGGCCACCATTTTGACAGAATCTTGAAATTGCATAATTATTCTCCTTTAACTTCTAATAATGGTTTTATAAGCATTTATTATACGTTTAAAACACACTCTTTCATCATTTTATACAATAAATTTTAAAAATTTTAAATATACAATAATGATTCGTCAAATTTACGGAGCTCTGAAAAAGATAACCTTCTTCACCAACGAGTTTCAGTTTAAGATTGATGTAAACTTTATCAATTATTGTTGTTCATGTTTCATATCTGTTCATACTTTCGAAAAAGACAAACCTCTTCACCAACGAGCTTCAGTTCAGATTGATGTAAGCTTTATCAATTATTGTTGTTCATGTTTCATATCTGTTCATACTTTCGAAAAAGACAAGCTTCTTCACCAACGAGCTTCAGTTCAGATTGATGTAAGCTTTATCAGTTATTGTTGTTCATGTTTCATATCTGTTCATACTTTAGAAAAAGACAAGCTTCTTCACAAACGAGCTTCAGATTGATGCAAGCTTTATGAATTATTGGTGTTCATATTTAATTACATCATTTGAAGTCTGTAATAATATTCGATTTACTATTAACTTAAAATCATTCACTCAATTTTTGGTGTTCGAATTCGGATAGGTATAACACCACAGTTTTTATGGTATACGATATGTATAAATTTTTTTTCTGAAAGCAAATTTCTATCAAAGCGTTTTTTAAAAAGTTTGGGTACTCTAAAGTTTCCAATTACAGTAAATTATTTAAGCAGACGCTACAAATTCTATTAATATTCCATTCTGCTTCATAATTTCATTGTTTTTTTTATCACAGTTATTTATTAAAGACAAAAACGACTTAATAAAAGAAACTGTTATTATTTTTTAAGTTCAATTCAGAAAGCATAATTTAATTTCGGTTAACAATTCAATCGAAATTATGCTTTGTGTTATATGAATTATACCTTTTATGATTGAATAATAAATGAAATTATACACGCTTTATAGCAATCTGTATTTTCTCCTATATATGTGATTATGGAATAAAGTATAAATTGAATTAATTTATTATTGGGATATATTTTAACAATTATATTATGATAATTTTCTAACTATTACTACTTAAATATGCAAGAAAAATTTATTATGGATTTTCCTCGACCTGCTACCAGATATTAAAGCGATTTACGTGAAAGTTAGTGTCAAAGTAAGTCGCATTCGATTAAAAATGCAATTTTGCATCTCGCACATTAATAGTTATAATGGTCGTAGTTAAGTGATAAGTCAATTCAAAACTAAACTTTGGTTAAGTAATTGATTTATCAGATCTATAGAATAATGTGTCTTAAGGGAGCGTGGGTTTTTATAGAGTGGTTTTGTGTTTAAAATAATAAAAAAAGTATTGATTTTTCATTATTAAATGCGTTAATAAATTGAAACTTCTACCAGAGGGTAAGTTCTCTTCAATATAAATTCATCAAATTAGTTAAAGAAAGAACTTTTATTCTAAATTTTTATAAAATAAATTTAAAAAAAATTTCTCACTTTTTCGGAAAATTTCAAAAATGCACCAAATATTAGATCAAATGTAAAAATATTATGACATAAAAGTATTCCAAAGATATATTAAAAAACTGTTTAATATAATTGTTCATTGAGTTTAATTTTACAATTGTTTGAAAAGCATGCTTAAAACATGCTCAAAAAATATTTAAAATAAAAGATTCCTTATTGAAAACATAAAACATTTCATATAACATTAACTATTGAGACATAGTATAGATTTTATGGAGTAGATAAAATTTAAGCAGTAAAGATAAGGAATGAATCATTGACTTTGGAAATACAAATTTTAAATCAAATGGGAAAACTAATGTCATAAATAAAACTAATGATTATTAAATTTAGTTTATTCCGACATAATCTGATAGTAAAACTTATAGATAGAAATTTTAAAGAAATACTGAATAAGCCTAAATAATTCGTCCAGATTCCAAGGAGTGTTTGCGTAAAGTGTGCAAAAAAAAAAAAAAAAAAAAAAAAAAAAAAAAAAAAAAAAAANAAAAAATTAAAAAAAAAAAAAGAAAAAAAAATAACAACCGAGCTACCCTGAATAACTTTTGATCTAAGGACCGGATCTTTACGTTCGAAGACTCAATCTTAATGGTTTGAGAAGGTGACCTCAAATATGCTCAGACGATATTTTAAGTTATGAAATTAGACACAAAAACGCTCTTTCTCTAAATAAATACACCATTTTTTTTAACGGTTTCGAATTTCTGACTTCCAAAATATAGGGGGGTAGCCGCAATATGGTCCCCATAGTTTGGTCAGGAGTGCAATCCACAGTTTGGACCCCTTGATGTTAATTTTACTTCTTGCGTATTTCGTCATATCTCAAGAACTCTTTAAGCGATTTGAAAAATTCTTGCACATAATTGTAAAATTTGTTTATTTAAAGATAATTCCATTTAAAAAAATAGGCTTTAGTAAATATTTATTATTTTATTTAATAATAGTCGAAAAATTTTTGAATTGTAAGGTACACAATTGTTTACCGCCATTTTAAATTAGGCAATTTTTCACATGACGGAAAGCAAAATTAGAGTGCAATTGGTTGAATGGTTCTTGAGAAATCAATTTTAAAAGTGGCATAGATTAAAAAGGGCATATATTTAAAATTCGATTTTTTAGGAACTAGGAAACCGATTTTGCTCAAACAAAGTTTGGTGTCCAAACTTTGGAATCTCTCCCTGATCCAACTATAGGCACCATATTTTGCAGATTGCACCTACCCCCTATATTTTCAGGGTCAGAAATCCGAATTTGCTGAAAAAAAAATCAATGCTTATTCCGAGAAAGTAAGTTTTTGTGATTTGATTTTGTTACTTAAAATATCGTTTGCACTAAGTAATTCGGATATTTGAGATCACCTCCTCAAAACATTTAGATTGACTCCTAAAACGTGAAGATCCGATCATCAAATCAAAAGTTATTCAGGGTGGTCTGTTTTTTTCTTGGCGCACTGTACAAGTAAGGCATGTACAAAGACGGATGGCACAAGGAAAGAGACATACTCTCACCAAGTAACAGGTACATACTACGAATGTTCCATTTATGGAACCTTGATTAACCGGTACGCATGCAATGCTTAAACAGTCAAACCATGCCCTCAAAGATAAGTTTTGTACTGTTGGTATTGGGAGTATATAATTTTGTACAATACTAGTTGTCAGTAGTGTTACATAAACTTTGTCTGTCTCAAGTTTATGTATTTAAATGCCTTAAGTTTATGTAGTCCAACACTGGAATAAAAAATTAAAAGAGTCGCATTTTTAAATTTTAATTTTTCATGTACTCTTTGACTCCAATACCAACAACACGTCGAATTTTATTAAATTTTAATTATTAATAAAATTTTAATATTTGCGATTTATCCCTTTGGCGTAGATGGGATACCGCTGACCCTTTTTTTAAAATTATTTTTTAATTATAAAAGAAAGTTTTTACTAAAAAATCTGTTTTGATTTAATTTTGTTTGCAAAAAATATAAAATCTGAAAAAATTTGACTAGTTTTATTATTCATATTCAGTGATACCAAACTCAAACTTCCAGCCCACCCCTGGATTTTGGGTGGGGGAAAATTTTGAAACCTTAAATATGAACCCCTATTTTCTATTACAGATTCGAATTTTCTAGAAAGTAGGACACTTTTTTTCTGGAGAATCCAAATCTGTAATAAAAAAATAGGGATTCATGTTTAAGGCTTCAATGTTGCCCCCACCCCACTTCAAGTAAGTGGGATGACATCGATTTTGGTATCATTAGATAACTTTAAAAAAATATTGAATATGAATAATTTTTAAAAAAAACAACTTAATATTGTATAGATGTTTGTTTGATGTAATGGCCTCCCTGTGACTTTCTAACACTTCATTTATTTACACACCTTTACCTGAAGAAGCTACTTTCTTAAGTAATTTTAGTTTATTTATGCTAGAATTTTTTTGGTGCAAAATATTTCTCTGAAAGCAGGTTGAAATTAATTGAATATATATTTACACTACGCTTTTTCTATCACTTAAAAACTACTTTCTTAAGAATAATAAAACAGCAAACAAACTTGTAAAATAAATTTTTCTACATATAATGGTTGCAATAACATTTTTTACTACATCATAGTATGTCTGATGCATTTCAATGCTTGTTAATAATCAAAGTAGATAAAATGCTTCATTTTTTAGAAATTTAATATAACTTCATAACTGTGTTTACGTTAGGCTATAAGGAAGTGAAACTAAAATGCACTTCTTCAAACATAAAGTTACGCAATAACTTCATTAATACAAAATTCCGCAATAAAACTTACAACTTATAGTTAAGTTTGATTTTAAATTTTAATCAATTTTTAATATCAAATTTATTTTGGTAATAAATTTGTAGTGAATATACTTTTACGTAGTATGTCTGTGTTGTTTAATGCTTTATTTTGTGTTGACTAAACAGTACATAAGGTAAAAGGATCAGAGCTGTGTTACCATTCAAGTTATAGCAAAAGAAGATGTCGACTTTATCAGCTTGTTATAAGCTTATCGCAGCCATTGCAATTGCAGTAGCTTTTATTAGTAGTGGTAAGATCATTTTTTGAATTAATTTTCTCACGTTCTTATTGTGGATTGATTAATTTAAACATGAGATTGATTAATGATTTTCATTATTTTTGGTTGAAATTTAAAACTTGGTGGTAGCACCACTACATTTATAGCTATTATCTCTTAGTTTTAATAGTTACAATAGTTAGAGGGACTATTGAAAAAAATTGTAAAAAAATGATTTAAATTGCTTATTTTAGTTAAGCAATGATATTATTTACATATGGTAGTTAAAATTTTTAAAAGTCACTTTTAATACATGTTCAGATAAGGAAGCAATAATAGTAAAGAAATTCAAAATATGAATATGATCATCACGGCAAATGATTTTAAATTATATAACTTTAATAATTTTTTTAACCTTCGTCAGCGCTAAATTTTAGCCTTACTTTAAAACTAAAAATTCGAGAACAACTCAGAAAACCTGCCTTATTAGAATTCTGTTTTTTCGTACGATAAATGATTTAGTGTATTATTTTCCTTAATAAAAATGTATGAATCACGTACTGTCTGATAGCAATATTTTGAAAGTTGTGAAAAATTCAAAACCAAAATTTAACATTTTCACAGACTTCTTTTTAATATTAGGATATTTGTTACGTTACATTAAAAATAAAAAAAGTAAAATGAGATTATAATATACTAATTAGAGAAAACTATTTCAAATAGTACTAGTGATGTAAACGTTTTTTTCATTTATAATCAGTATAACATTTAAATGACATAAAATAATAATGCATTATATCAATTTAAAAATGTTAAAATACTCTCAAAACATGCTTATTACCATTTTTCATTATTAATGCTAAATGCATCATTAATGCTTTCATTATTAATGCTAAAGCTAATGCTCATTATTAATGGCATTTACCATTATTAATGCTAAAATATAAAGGAATTTTGTGTTGTAAGACACTTTAATAATTTACTCTAGTCATTTAAATACTTTAAGAAAGCTCTAGATAAATAGATTTCGTTACAATTTTATTTTCTGTTGTTGAATTTAAATCGGATAAAATTCTTGTTTCATTGTAAATCACATTAATAATTTACGCTAGTTAATTAACTATTTTAAGAAAGCTCTAGATAGATAGGTTTTGCTGCAATTTTATTTTGTATTGCTGAATTTAAATCGGATAAAATTCTTGTTTCATTGTAGAACATTAAAGTTAGATCATACTTTTGCTGAAAATTGTAAACCTTCATTTATTAAAACTGGGAAACAGAAATACGTTTAATAGTCTTTTCAATCAAATCATACCTTATCAAAAAGCTGAAAAGCACTCAATTTTGAGATCTTTATTGTTGAATGTTAAAATTTAAATCTTCGTTATGATATGCTTACACAATTATGTTATGTTAAATATATTTAAAGTTATGCATATTCAAATTGGATATAAATATATTTATTTCTCACATTTTTTTTCAGCAATGGCAGCGCCAGTTGCAGAGCCAGATCCGCAAAGAAGTATGTATAGCGATGAAAAACTTTGTAAGAAGGTTTTTATTAGTTAAAAAATGCACTACTTTGTAATGTATTTCGTTCGAGTTTTTAAACTTCATATTAAGTACGGATAATAAAATTGTGAATGAAAAGCAGTATGAAGTATTCTGAAAGTTTTCTGATTGTCATAGTGCACAATTTTAATTGCGCTAGAATTTTTAATTACGTTTATTAGAAAAAAAATTAGAAAACTCTTTGAAGAATACAAAATACGATATTAACTGATATTATATGAAATATATGTGAATTTTTATTCAAGCATTTATTTTATCATGAACGCCTGTCCTTCAAGTTGGCTTTAGATATAACTCATGGAATGGTCTGACATGCAGCAAAAAATATCCTTTAAAGTTTTTTCTTTCTCTATAAAGCAGTGCATTTTTTGACGAACTTGATAACTAATTGTGAAACTTTGTGAGAATAAAAACTGATTTCCTGAGTAGAAACAATGCATAACCATAAATTTTTATCTGTTGATACGGAGTGTTCAGGTGTGGTTAGAAGTATGGTATAGTGGACTAGTTGAAGAATTGTGATGAAAACAGGATAATGAAAATGACATTTGAGGATGAAAAATGGATCATAATTAATAAAACTTTTATTTAGTAGTATTTGCGGAGCTTGAGATACAAAAATTATATTTTATCCATGATAGTGTTCGAAGTTAAATAAATTTTGCATAGTAATACTAATAAGGACAGGCCATGGGAGACAATTCCCTCACGACCAGCCTAATCAAAAGTCAAATTAAAAGTACGTGTATTTATTCCCAACGGACACAGGAGAAGCAGGGATAGAAGATCCAAAGTTGGCGATTTATTAAAATATAACGTAGCCAAAACAAAGCCAAACCGCCATATTAATATTGGGTTCAAAAATACCTTGGCGATCACGAGTCGCCAACAAATTTCAGCGAATTATTGCAAGCATGCAACTGAGACATTTTTGCGGTTAGAAATTTAGAATTAAAAAGTTATAAATAGATTTTTGTTTTCGAATAGGTACACGACAGTCAATTAATGAGTCTGCATTAGTATTGAAATAAAAAGTTAGCAGTCGTATTGATCGATAAAAAAAATAAATATTTTATGTTCGCTTTAAATGATTAACTCTTAGATTTATTTTAAATATAATTCGATTAATAAAAAATAAGCTTAAGTAATTAAAGATATTTTAAAGGATAGGAAATAAATATGTAATGCCAATTGTGGCATCACGTTATCCTATCTCCTTTCCATTATTTTTTTATTAGTTCTTTAAATCATTGGTCATTCTTGGAAAAACTGATATCGGGGACACATTATTCCTTTTCACAAGATAATTTTTTTTTTTTTAAAAATAAAATGATCGTGAAGTTTAATAGTGATTTTTGATAAGTAAATGATGCTAGGAATTTTTTTACAGTTCATTCTTAAAGTTTGTCTGAAAAGATTTAATATTTATTTCTATACCTCCTTATCTATAAAAGCTTTATGATAAACTGGAACAAAATTCGTTGCATCTTTCATAAAAAGCAAGTTGCGTCTAACTTTTGAAATGTTGATTGTCTACTGTGCTGCATCCAACAACACCAAAAGAAGCGTTTTCTGAAAATTTCTAGCAGATCTACAGTATACAGAAAAAAAAAACCACGAACACCTTAGTAACTTTTGATCGAATGATTTTATCACGTACTAGGACTCAACCTTAATGGTTCGAAAGCTTCATCTGAAATATGCTAATTAATAAGGGCTAAGGAGTTAGATAAGGTGAGCTGTCGAAACTTTGAACCCTTTAATGGAAATTTCGCTTTTAAATGTGTACTATAGCTAATCACAATTACTTTTATTTCCATAATTTTTTTTGTACCTCTAGTTAGTTTTATTTCATAAGATTTTATTTTGCTCCTTTATTCTTGTTTCTTATAGTCTTCTTATTTTTTGAACTCATTTTGTATTTATTAAATTTAGAATATAACTACATAAAGGCTTTATTACACCATTATTACAACCGTACAATTAATTTAGGTAGCGGATTTCTCAAAAAAGATGCATTTAAAATATGAAAACAGTTAAAGAGGTTTAAAGAGAAATGAAACGAAAATGCAGGTTTTAAATTCAACTTAATAGGAATGCTCTAGTGCATTTAAACATAATTAATAGATATTACGAATTTAAAAATAAGAAAAACGAACTATTAAGGAAGGAATTGGACAAAATAATTGTGCATACTTTTGTTTATTATATAATTAATCTAAACATAAATCTTTTTTCACTTTCAGACTGTGGTTTCTGTGGTAGTTATATTTTAATTTAATTCACATAATTAATTTTACAGAATTTTTTAACTGAATATGTTTATTTTCAGTTAACGAAATTTGAAAAGTATTTTTTTCATTAAAATAAGATTTCTTTAACATTATGTAAACATAAGAATTCAAAATTTTTAACTTAAAATTTATCATATAAGCTGAAAAACTCATTACTTTTTAAAACAATACAGAGTTTAAGAAAACAATATATTTTTCCAAGCATGAGAGGTTTTCCAAATCAGAATTCGCGCAAAAAAAAGTTCATGAATTTACTTAAAAATGTCTTTTGCAGTAAAATACACCTTAAAATGATGTCTTTTCTAAAAGCAGGAAAGAAAACATTTAAAAACATAATGCTTTGGTGAGAGATATTTTTTCTATGTTGGAAAATGTCTAAAAAAAATGACAAAGTTTTTTAAAAATTAAATTTTATTTTAAACCTGAAATATTTTAAAAAACACTAGCACTGAAACACAGGGTGGTAAAATTAACACTTAATTGAACTTATTGAGCTAGATGAAATAAAAATAAAATTTTCAGTGCAATGGGCTTGTCATCATTGGCAATATGGCGCAGACGTATAACCAAATTATGAAAAATTAAAAGAAAGTACCGAATCACAAATGCTTTCAATGATTTCTATGGAAGTTTTAAACTCAGAGATCGTTTAGGAGTAATATTCATAAACTTCGTTTTAAATATTCATCCGTAAAAACGAATCACCAATGATAGGTCGCGATTGAACTGTTTAGGTTAGAATAATGTTTGTTAAGGACAAGGAATAATAAAGGAATTAATCTTCTAAGGCTAAAATTTTGTACAAAACGATATTAAGAAGCGTGCATGATTTTCGATAATAAAAAAATACTAATTATTTTTTGTATGAAGTATTTCGATTTCTATTTATTGAGAATTATTATGGGTAAAGTATAAGATGGAATTCATATGATTTCGAGTTATCTTTTGATAATGTAAGTTAAATTGAAGCGAACCAAACTGAATATTGTAGAAAATATTTATAATGTAAGACAAATAATTCTTGTGTGGGAAATTAACTTAGGTCAAATAATAATTAAAATAATTAAAAATATTGAATAGGAAAATTATTAAGTAATAAATTTTATTTTTTACTGTATTATGCTATAAATTGTACCATACTATATACTGTACTGTATAAAAATTATACTATGTTTTTTTCCCTTCGAAATATAGTCATACATTTTTGAATAACTATTTTAGCTGTACGAGGTAAGTTTAACCTTGATGCCATATTTATAATTCGTTATAAATTTATAGCAGTTTTCAAAAAGTTATTACAATTTAACACTAATTTAACACATTTTTAAAATCATTAAAGTATTAATAAAAATATTAGTTACACTGCTAAAAAGCAAATCTGGATAGTAATCTTAAAATAGTTTTAGACTCTACAAGTTCTTACATAAGTTACTTTTAAAAACAAAAAACTTCATTAATTATTTAATAACTTCGTGACTCGACCCAGAGATCCAATTTTCGATAACCACAATCGAGTTTACATCTGTCAATTATGGTCATCTAATTAAATTTAATGATTTAATTTTTCTTATTAATTGAGTAGTAAGCAAAAAACTTATATTACAATATATATTATGCATCCAGTTACAAGATCAAGGCAACATCAAGGATCAAGGATCCAGTTACAAGATCATAACGCAAAATTTGATAGGAAGTATCGGCACGTCAAAGAAGGAGCACAAAAAAATTACCTGACAGAATTTAAAATAGTATAAAGCCACGAGTCATGTGTTAATTTAGAAAATTGAGTTTTGTAGAGTCCTGCTCATCTCATCAGCAGGTCGTTTTATTAACAGCAATTTCATGATAAATAGTTTTGTTGGTACGTCATTTAGTCGAGAGGGTTATCTCGTCAACATTTCGTCGACATGGTCATTTCGTTGACAAGATGATTAGGCCTTCAATGTCGTTTCGTCAACGCGGTTATTTTGTTGATAGGTTGATTTCGTCGACAAGTTGATTTTGTAGACAGTTCGATTTTGTCGACAGGTCGATTTTGTCAACAGGTTGATTTCATCGAAGTTATTGTCAGCGAAATAAATAACCTCTTTTTCCCTCGAAGAAATATATTATTATGTAACATTCCAATTTCGAACTTACAAGCAGCTCCGGAGTTGACTTATTGGGAAGAAAAAACTAAACATTTCTCATTTACCCTTTGTTGATGCAGATGGGCCAACAGTGTCACTCATATATATATATATATATATATATATATATATATATCTNATAGTTTAACGCAGAAACAGACATCGGGGTTTCATGCTGTATTTCATAACCTTAAATTATGAAAATGCTAAATATAACATTTACACTTATTTTATTTTATTAATTAATACGAAATAATTAAAAAAATTGGAAATATGTATAATATAAGTTTTGCGTCAAAGGGTTAAAGTCAATACATCTGTTGTATTGACATTATGTGTTGATAAAATATCCATATATCGAAATTTTTATGATTGGTTAGTTTTCGCTTGATCATTAATAATTATTTGCAATATTTTTTTTGCAGGTTAAAGGTAAGCGAAGTTTTGATAATTATGTCTAATTTTGAAACTAAAACGATTTATAATGAAAAACTAAATACGACAAATAAAAAAATAAGAAATAAAAAAAAGGAGATAAGAAGAGAAAGAAGTTCTTTTATTTTCTTTTAAAATAAGTGATTGAAACCCATATGAATGAAATTCGATATTTTGTAACGGAAGACAGAAAGTCATAAAAAATTTATTACATATTCTGTTCTTATTTTCTTTCTTTTTTTATCGATTTTCAATACTGCTCTTATTAATTCAATTTCTTAACCGAGTGTGCCTTAACCCACGGTATACTTTGTGGAGTAAGGTGCATAGACTCGTTTTCCTTTAATAAGATGTTCATAATAATAATTGAAAATAAAATAATCTTTCGAAAAGGACTTAAGGTTGTTTTTCTTTTAAAATGGCAAAAGTTGGATTGCTAAGTGGCTTATCTAAGCATTACCACTCACAAAATACAGTTTAATATATTGAGATCTGTTATAAATATCATTTTCGAGAGAACATTTTAAAAATGACACTGTTTATAACTGTTTAAACAAATAATAATAAAATTTCAATAAAATCTTGTACACTATAAAAAATTCCTGATCAAATTACGGTATAAATTACCGGCACTTTTTGTGCATAACCCGTAAAATCTATTTTAGCGGAAAATCCATTTTTACTGTAAAATATTATACTTTAACTATTACAGTAATATTTATTCAACTGAAGTGATTAAGTTTTCACGATAAAAAATTATTACTGTAAAAATTCAGTATGTAAAATTTTTTGCTACGTAAAATATTCTGATAAAAATGTATTTGACAATAAAAGGTATCGACAACCTGAGTATATTTTCATCGTAATTTGTTCCGGAATTTTTTACAGGGTAGCAAACCATTTTTCAAGGAAAGTAATTACCTCTCAAAATTCAATTCGTTTTTTGAAAAGTTCTCTTCAAAGTTTCACTTAAAAACTTCAGTTTAACTTTAAAGTTTCTGCATTTCGATATTTTCAATCTGATGTATCTATTATCGTATAATCCTATAATAAAATATTAAAACCCTATTAGCTTAAAAAGGCTCAATTACTTAATTAAAAGTAAACTTAACTTAAAATAAAATTCACTTATCAATAATTTCTATTAAAATAAAAACTGCTTCGCTATTTTTTAAATCTTTTCCATTTTATCATTTCATTTATAATAGAATTCAATCATTTTCTGAACTACAGTAGTTAATTACTATTTTTGCATATGCTATTTAATTTTGGATCGAAATGTAAATACAAGTTATTTTTGCAGGTGAGACTTTCGTGCATGTCAGAAATATGGAAACAGACATGGAATATAAGGGAAGGAAGAAAAAAAAATTTGGATTATAATAAAAAGAAAATTTTACGTAATTAATACATATACTTATAATTTTTATTAATATAATTAAATGCAATCTAAATAAAAGCAATTTTTTCAGGAATATAATTTTCAATTTTATTTTTGTCATAAATGTACTCACATTTCTATATGGAAAGAAACATTCCGGTAAAATTGCCTGTTTGGTAATGAATTTTCTCGTAAAAAAATATAAATAGGGTATTAATAAAAATTGTTCAATAAATTCTTTATTTAAGTAATTTATTTGGCAATATTTCTGTTCTTATGGTATTTTTACCGGATATTCTGGTTTTCAAAATTGTAGTTCCTATCACCACACATTTAGATTTTATTCCAAAGTCTAAGGTTTCATGATAAAATTACCAAATTTTATCACATATTATGAAACTATATTTTATTGTTAATTTCACCAAAATCTTTAATGCGAATATTACCGAACTTGTAGTGTTCCCATAGAGCCAGAAACACGGTAAAGTTTACTATATTTCAGTAGTTTTGGCCATACTTTTTTACTCAGTTTATGAGCAATAAATTAATTATTAACACAGCTTAATTGAAAGAATATCTCTTAATTTTTTATTATAGATAAAAGAAGAACTATTTTTATTTTAAATTTCTATTTGCTCATTTTCTTGGTATGCTATCTCTCTAAGGCAACAAAATAAATTCCTGCACATATCAGTTTAGTTAAAATATTTTTAATCAAACACAAGGCTTTCTCTTAATAATAAAAAATGTATTTTAATTTACTATTAAACGTGCACAAAATATTTTGAATTTTTTTTAAAAATTGCCTTCTTATTTAATCATGTAATTTTTAAGTATTAACACGTTGAATGTCATGGGGGTCACCGGTGACCGGCGAAGCCAAGATTATTAGAAACACATAATTCTAGTAAATGTTTAATGCTTTTAAATTTTTTTATATATTGTTATCGTTACTAAAATGGTTTGAAGAAGTTAATGCAAAACATCCTGAGAAAATCATTTTGTCCAGACGGGCACAAGCCTTGTAAAATTAGCGTGGCTTTAAACGTGTTAATAAGTTTATTTATGTTTTCAAATATATGTAACAGCGCATCACTTGCTGTATAAGTTAAACTTAATAAGTAACCAAATACTTTGGTTATTGACATTAAGAAGAGCATAAATTAAAATAATTTACAGTTATCACGCATCTTGTTCACACAGAGATTTTTTATTCAAATTAAAATAAAAGCAGGGTAAAAATACAAACTTTCATTTTACAACTTAAGTTCATAAACAAAATTACTTTCACCAATATCAAAAACAATATAAATTGCTTACGCCAAATTGAAAAATCCTGATCCTCTTCTTCCGTTTCAATTCTGTAATAAAGGCTTATTTTCCAGATTCATAGTTGTCTAGTTTTAGGAAAGGCAGTTAATTACCATAAAAGTTGTGCAAAATTTCAATTTTGTGTTCCTTTTATGTCAATTTTATGGTCACGCCAAATACACACCCTCATGTTTGTTTTTTCAGGTACTACTCAATGATATGTATTCACAGAAATATGTACCTTTGTGGTGGTTCACTGTTGGTACTAGCAGAATTTGACGGTCAAAGTCTAAAAAGTATCTTTTTCGCAAAGATTCCGGAATGCGCTTTGAACTTCGACGTAAAGGTCAACTGAAAATATTTATGTTTTCTGATAATAACTGTCAGTGTTGTGATTCAGTCGTTAAAAGTGTTTTTCCTCAAAAATTCATATAATTTGCATTTTTGACCTTCCAAAACTAAGAAAATGTTTTTTCTTCTCAAAAATAAAATAACACGTGTGTAATAGTTTTACCTAAAGAGCATATCTGGAAAATTTCAACAAAGTAAAAAATGCTAAGTATCCAAACCTGCCTGACTTTTAAAAAAACTGGCTCTTAAAACTAGTTTAGGAAAGATTTTGATTGATTTGACTGTTTTTTTTAAGCCTTGTTGCTTCAACCGATGGCACTCTCTTAAGGTTATTTATCTTAGAGTAGTTAAGTATTTCTTCTAAATAAAAGAAGGTGGCAGCATCATATACTTTAAATCGAACAGGCAATGTAATAAATTTATGATTTTGTTCATTTCATTTGGTAAATTTAATCATTTAGTGGCATCAAAATTAATTCTGCTTTTAGTAACTATTTGACTAGTTTTTTTTTACATCAAATTATAATATTTTAATATCAAATTTCAAATTTTGGTGCATTTTCTCTTGAAATACCCCTGCACTACATTTATTCAATAATGCCAACGTACATTCGTTAGCTAAAGATATAAATATAAACTCAATAATATATATGTCAGTTTATGACATAAAAAAAGGGATTATGCTGATTTAAATATTAAAACTGATCAAAATCGAGAGTCATTTGAAAAATTATAAAAATTAATTTTAGAATTAAAAAAAAAATTTTGTTGGTTATTTGTAGGCTATTGTTATAAAAAACTATGATTATTAATATGTAAAAAAACCTTGCCTTACCAACACATAATATAAAAATTCAAATTATATCAATCTTGAAAAATATTAAAGATCTGCCCACTTCCAAATGAAACAATGATACCATAATAGTCAAATTATTACTGAAATTTCTTGCACGTTACAACGTTACAATGATATTTTATGTGAAATTATACTTTTAGAAATCCAAAGTTATTTGTAACAATTTAAATATGGGGAAAGAAGCTTGGGGCAATATTCATAATATTTATCAGTTGAAATTATTTGTAGATTTTGACAGATCACCGAAATTGTTTTGCATTTTTGTGTTCAATTTTATCATAAACCTTTTAATTAACTTTAAAACGTTTTTAGTACACACAAGAAAATTTTGAATATAATTCTTTATTTATCGATTGATTTTGTTTAAAAAAAGCGTACATAATACATAAAAATACATAAATGAATTATCTCAAGAAAAGAAATCCTCCTTCGTTTTGTTACGCCTAGTTCGAATTCGTCTTGATTCCTTTTGTGCTTCGCGGATGTTTGATTTACAAAGTAATGTATAATTAAATATAATTATAAGCAAATGTTCTGTTAATAATTAGTATATATATGCATTCTAAATTAATGATTCTAACTTTACATTCTATTCCAAAAATAATTTTACTGTCTCTTATGTGTATCTTACAAATTTTAATGCTATTGAATAACAAAAATGGTAGCAGTTACTTTAGACCAAATAGTGTAGAATAAATGTTGCTGTAGTGAAACACTAGTAGAAACCATAGTTATGTATCGTGTTTCATAAAGCAACTTTGTTAAGTAGTTACCACAGTTTTTGGCGTGGAGATACACTTTAATTTTTTTACAGTGAATATATAACAAAGTTATAAAAAAAAATTAATAAAAACATTTTGCTGCATAGTTGATACTTTTGGTGTTGAAGTAAACAGTACATTTTCAAGTACAGAATGGAAGTTATCGCTCAAAAAACTACATAAAATTGTCAGAATTACAATTGATTGAAAAAATTACTGTGAATATATTTCTAAAAATACTCTTGTTTCTTATACGAATTTTTTTAACAATATACATATATAT